AAAACGCCATAAAAAAGCCAGACTACGGTTTGCAACTGCACATGTGGACAAAGATCGTACTTTTTGGAGAAATGTCCTCTGGTCTGATGAAACAAAAATAGAACTGTTTGGCCATAATGACCATCGTTATGTTTGGAGGAAAAAGGGGAACGCTTGCAAGCCGAAGAACACCATCCCAACCGTGAAGCACGGGGGTGGCAGCATCATGCTGTGGGGGTGCTTTGCTGCAGGAGGGACTTGTGCACTTCACAAAATAAATGGCATCATGAGGAAGGACAATTATGTGAATAGATTGAAGCAACATCTCAAGACATCAGTCAGGAAGTTAAAGCTTGGTCGCAAATGTGTCTTCCAAATGGACAATGACCCCAAGCATACTTCCAAAGTTGTGGCAAAATGGCTTAAGGACAACAAAGTCAAGGTATTGGAGTGGCATCACAAAGCCCTCAATCCTATAGAACATTTGTGGGCAGAACTGATAAAGTGTGTGCGAGCAAGGCCTACAAACCTGACTCAGTTACACCAGCTCTGTCAGGAGGAATGGGTCAAAATTCACCCAACTTATTGTGGGAAGCTTGTGGAAGGCTACCCGAAACATTTGACCCAAATTAAACAATTTAAAGGCAATGCTACCAAATACTAATTGAGTGTATGTAAACTTCTGACCCACTGGGAATGTGATGAAAGAAATAAAAGCTGAAATAAATCATTCTCTCTAAAATTATTCTGACATTTCACATTCTTAAAATAAAGTGGTGATCCTAACTGAGCTAAAACAGGGAATTTTTACCAGGATTACATTTCAGGAGTTGTGAAAAACTGAGTTTAAATGTATTTGGCAAAGGTGTATGTAAACTTCCGACTTCAACTGTAGATACTGAAGGGTTGTTGTAGACTGAAACAGTAAGGCTACAGTAAGGCATTGTTCATGGAAATTGAGGTTTTCGAGCAGATTATCTGATGTCCTTGAGAGAGCCAAACTTATCTTTGGTTCTCAGTGAATAGGAAACAAAGATCACTTACATTGGGCAAATTCATAAAAATTGTTTCAAAAACACTCACTGTTTTTGTATAAACCAATGCTTATTTTTTCAAAAGCCTCTACCATAAAAGCTTGCTTCAGATCCAAAGTACACACAGAACTCCTTTGGGTTGTACTGGAGCCCAGTGCCAAGGAGTAAAAGTTGGCACCATCACCTGGCCAGCGATTAATTAATTAAAGCAATTATTGAGCCACTTAATTTTCATTTCATCGAAGTTTGAGTTAGACTACAGAAGTGCCAAGAACAATCAACTCCCATTGAGAATAGTAATTAGAAATGCATAAAAATCCTAAACCAACCACGTGCAAGTCGTTCATTTCACACTGTATTTCCTTTAAGGACGTCCTTAAAAAATTACTAAATTTCATACATTTGGCAAGCCTAAAGAAAGGGTTGTTTTTGGTCTTTGTACCATGTGTTGCCTATGTGATGTTATGAGAGGCAGATAATGGCGCTAATCTACATACAGACCTGACAATGGGCTGCCTGGATTTTTACCTTATTTAGCCTTCTTTTATCCCCAAGTAATGAAGACAGGTCCCTTGGGATCAAACAATACAGAGTTTATATCAAAGATAGGCTTTCAAACACTGTTGAGAAATAATGAGGCTCCTTCAGCAGCATACGCCAGTTTGTAAACTTCAATGAGAGAAAACACAGCAATAGCAATTGCACAGCAATCTGTTTACATTTTAAATTAACCCAGCTCTTAAGGCACTAAATTAACTTCCATATATACACTGAACAAAAATATAAACGCAACACGTAAAATGTTGGACCCATTTTTCATGGGCTGAAATAAAAGATCCCAGAAATGTTCCATGCGCACAAAACACTTTTTTCTCTCAAATGTTGTGCACAAATTTGTTTGCATCCCTGTTAGTGAGCATTTCTCCTTTGCCAAGATAATCCGTCCACCTAACAGGTGTGGCATATCAAGAAGCTGATTAAACAGCATGTTCATTACACAGGTGCACCTTGTGCTGGGGACAATAAAAGGCCACTCTAAAATGTGCAGTTTTGTCACAACACAATGCCACAGATGTTTTGAGGGAGCGTGCAATTGGCATGCTGACTGCAGGAATGTCCACCAGAGCTGTTGCCAGAGAATTGAATGTTGATTTCTCTACCATAAGCCGCCTCCAACGTCATTTTAAAGAATTTGGCAGTACGTCCAACCGGCCTCACAACTGCTGACCACGTGTAACCACACCAGCCCAGGACCTCCACATCCGGCATAAAAAAGTGGGGCACCAGGGCGGTAACAAAGGCTCTTCCAACCCCATACTATGATCCCTTGGTTTACTTTTATTCTCATGAGAGAAAGACACGTTCAGAATGGATAAGTGTTTGGTCAAGGCGTACAAACTCAAGGTACCAGTGAGCCTTCACAAATACACTGAGTGAACAAAACATGACAGACCTTTCCATGACAGACTGACCAGGTGAAAGCTATGATCCTGATTGATGTCACCTGTTAAATCCACTTCAATCAGTGTAGCTGAAGGGGAGGAGACAGGTTAAAGAAGGATCTTTAAGCCTTGAGACATGGATTGTGTATGTGTGCCATTCAGATGGTGAATGGGCAAGACAAAACATTTAAGTGCCTTTGTACGGGGTATGGTAGTACAGTGCATTCGGAAAGTATTTAGACCCCTTGACTTTTTCCACATTTTGTTACGTTACAGCCTTATTCTAAAATGGATTAAATAAAATAAAATCCTCATCAATCTACACACAATACCCCATAATAACAAAGCGAAAACAGGTTTGTAGATATTTTTGCAAATGTATTAAATATGAAACACAGAAATACTTTATTTACATAAGTATTCAGACCCTTTGCTATGAGACTCGAAATTGAGCTCAGGTGCATCCTGTTTTCATTGATCATCCTTGAGATGTTTCTACAACTTGATTGAAGTCCACCTGTGGTAAATTCAATTGATTGGACATGATTTGGAAAGGCACACACCTGTCTATATAAAGGTCCCACAGTTGTCAGTGCATGTCAGAGCAAAAACCAAACCGTGAGGTCGAAGGAATTGTCAGTTAAACTCTGAGACAGGATTGTGTTGAGGCACAGATCTGGGGAAGGGTACCAAAACATTTCTGCAGCATTGAAGGTCCCCAAGAACACAGTGGCCTCCATAATTCTTAAATGGAAGAAGTTTAGAACCACCAAGACTCTTCCTAGAGCTGTCCGCCCGGCCATAATGAGCAATCGGGGGAGAAGGCCTTTGGTCAGGGAGGTGAACAAGAACCTGATGGTCACTGACAGAGCTCCAGAGTTCCTCTGTGGAGATGGGAGAACTTTCCAGAAGGACAACCATCTCCGCAGCACTCCACCAATCAGGCCTTTATGGTAGTGGCCAGACAGAAGCCACTCAAGGCACATGACAGCCCGCTTGGAGTTTGCCAAAAGGCACCCAAAGGACTCTCAGACCATGAGAAACAAGATTCTCTAGTCTGATGAAACCACGATTGAACTCTTTGGCCTGAATGCCAAGCGTCATGTCTAGAGGAAACCTGGCACCATCCTTACGGTGAAGCATGGTGGTGGCAGCATCATGCTGTGGGGATGTATTTCAGTGGCAAGGACTGGGAGACTAGTCAGGATCGAGGGAAAGCAAAGTACAGAGATCCTTGATGAAAACCTGCTCTTGAGCGCTCAGGACCTCAGACTGGGGCAAAGGTTCACCTTCCAACAGGACAACGCAGGAGTGGCTTCGGGACACGTATCTGGATGTCCTTGAGTGGCCAAGCCAGAGCCCGGACTTGAACCCGATCAAACATCTATGGAGAGACTTGAAAATAGCTGTGCAGCGACGCTCCCCATACAATCTGACAGAGCTTGAGAGGATCTGCAGAGAAGAATGGGAGAAACTCCCCAAATACAGGTGTGCTAAGCCTGTAGCGTCATACCCAAGACTCGATGCTGTAATCGCTGCCAAAGGTGCTTCAACAAAGTACTGAGTAAAGGGTCTGAATACTTATGTAAATATGATTTCAGTTAATTTTTTATACATTTGTAAAAATGTCTAAACTGTTTTTGCTTTGGCATTATTACATTAGTATTGTGTGTAGATTGAGGTGAAGAAACAATTTAATCAATTTTAGAATAAGGCTGTAATGTAATGTGGGAAAAGTCAAGGAGTCTGAATACTTTCCGAATGCACTGTGTGCCAGGCGCACCGGTTTAGTGTGTCAAGAACTGCAACGCCGCTGGGCTTTTCACGCTCATGTTTCCCATGTGTATCAAGAATGGTCCACCACCCAAAGGACATCCAGCCAACTTGACACAACTGTGGGAAGCATTGGAGTCAACATTGGCCAGCATCCCTGTGGAAGGCTTGACTCCTTGTAGAGTCTATGCCCTGACGAATTTAGGCTGTTTTGAGAGCAAAAACTAAATATTAGGAAGGTGTTATAATATTGGGTTGTTATAATATAGGTCTTATAATATTGAGTTACATTGTGTATAACCTAACAATTCTCATACATCTTGTGCATGGTCTCAAACTGACTGCAGTTTGAGGATTTCAAGAATACATAATGCACAGTAACCAATCAGGTTGTCTGTGCATGACTGCAATGGCCCTTTGAGCCAAAGCCTAGACATTAGTCTTCAGATCTTAAGAGCTCAGGCAAGGGACACATCGTACAACAGGAACTACATGTTCAAATACATGACACATGACAACTGATTGGGAACATGTGGCTGAGGAATAGGCTTGAACTGAGGATTTGACCACTTAATGGCTAACTGGCCATAAGAAGTTCACGTTGCTTTCAACAACACTTTATTAAAATTTGTCTGCAGAGGTGTTATGAGGTCGTGACATAAGATGTTATCTGATATCAGTCGAGATAACACACATAAGCCTTTTAAAGCAGCTCAGTGGACTAGATGGGATGCCTCGTGGGTAAGAAAGCATGAGCACACAAAAATGTGAACATTTATTGCTTTATCTGAATACCGCATTGAAAGCAAAATCATTCAGAGTATACACAAATTATACAATTATATGGTTTCACAAAGGCAGTGAACACATACTGTATTACAATCTACAAAAATCTACTTTACAGAAATTTAAAATTCTAAATATCAAAAAGTACAGCTATAGAAAGAAACCAGTAACTGCTCTGGATATCTGTCAGTCAAACTTGGTGACATCATAATCCAAATTGGAAGTCATCTTGTACTTACAGCTGGTTTTGGAAACTAAATAACTGTCTGCCACAAAAAAACATTTTACAAAATAAGTAGTTGAGTTGAAATGTTTATATAAATTAATGGTGCACCCAAAATTATTAAATCTTATATTTGAAGGTAAAAGTAGCATGTTATATTACTCTTCGAGGTGGGTCGGTAGTGCATCATAGCAAAGACAATAGATGCATTTTAAAAGGAGAATAAGGTCTCAGATGGAAAATCTAATTCAATACTCCATCTCACGAGGAAAATAGATTTAAAAAAATAACTAACAAGGAAAGATACTTTTTCCTCAATAGCCAAGATGGTGGCACATGAGTAAAAACAGTGGTATGGGCTGGATGCTGAGGCTTGAGCTAGCTAGTTCATCTCTGGAGTGAGTAACTGATGGCATAAACAATGAGGAAGTTAGTTAGCGGGGTTGTCTTTGTCCTGACTCTGGTGGTTTGGCGGGGGTGATAATCCATAGAGAAAAACAACTGGCTACAGGAACAAAACTGGGCCTGCTTTACCTGTCAAATGGTCAAACTGATGAGAGAAAACAATACCCAGGTGAACACACCGTCCAGTCAGCACAGCTTGAACAAACATCATATGCAACCCGAAAAACTGACCAAGGCTGAAACAAAGACCTCTGTAGACCACAAGCCTTAAAAGGAAACTCATAAATAGAGTATGGGAAGAAGAAAAAAATCCAGTTAAAAAAATCTTCGATTGAAAATAAAATGTGTATGCCTACATCAATGACAGGTGGTCATTTTGAGGAGTAGCCAAAATGTAGACAAGGCGTAAAGTATCTAGGGGACCAGGATGGAGTAGCCCCTTCACCGGTGACACTCAAGCTGGACTTGAGGACAGATGTTCTTAATGGTCAATAGATCGATCCTGAGGTGCTGTTAGTCCTGCTCCATGGGCTCTTCACTGGTCCCGGTGTCCTGGCTGCCGCTCTCCATGGCGCCCTCAGCAGCTGGCTCAGGACTACTGCTGGAGGGAGCAGGGGCTGCCTCTTCCCTGGCTTCATTCTCCGCACTGCTACTGCTGCTGACTGGGTCACTGCCCTCATCGCTGTCCCGGGCCTCAGGGTTGTCCAGGACGCCAGCAGGGGCCTGCTGTTCTGACTGGTCCATGTCATTACCTTCCTTGCCACAAGGTCCCTCCCCCTTAGCCTGCTCCTCCTCCCCGGGCCCTGCTGATGGCTCAGACTGTGTGCTCGATGGCTCTGTGGGACAGGCAAGGACACAAAAACGGAGTTAGCGATGTTAACTGCATCAGGGTTGTTGTAGATCTGGCACACAGATAAGCTGAACTTGCGATGAACACCTCAGAATTCTGAAAATTCAGGCAACTCCTGGTTCTGCTCATTTACTAACTAATATCCACAAAGGATTTCACCAGCGATGTATACCAGCATGATGGAAAAAGAGGTGAAAATTCAGTCCTACCTTGGTCTTCACAAATCCCAGCAGTACTGGCAGCCTCACTGTCCTCCTCCTGCTCCTCCTTCTCCTGGACCATGGACTCTGCCTCTTCCGACAAGCTGTCAGCGTGACCGGAGCTGAGGGTGTCCTCTTCATCATCATCCTCATCTTTATTGAACTTGAGCCTCTTCACCTCATGCTGCTCCGCCTCCATAACCTCCTCGTCGTCATGGTGCTTGTTCTTCACAGAGCTCCCCAGGGTATCTGATGCCGACACCTCACTGAGAAAGAAGATTCAACACGCATTCAATTCATCAAAGAACGGTAGGAAGTGAGTATCACACAATCTGTTGGGTAGCAACTGAAGTACCTGGAGGGTGTGTCATGTCCCTGCTCTGTGGTAGGGTCTTTGTTTTCTGTACTGTCCGGTAGTCCGTTTGTCGCTAGTGAGCTGGCTAGAGAGAGTTTTGGTCTGTTCAGCGGCCTGGGGGTCCCTGGACCATTAACTTTCCTGCAAGAAAATAGTAAAAGACTAAGAAAAGTGAGGTTTACTTTTTGCATTTACCTTTAGGCAATTATCACTGACGTGAAACTAGGATGGGAGAATGAGAACCTGTCCTATGCGCTTTACCTCTCTGTAAAAGCAGATGAGTTTCCAGGCAACATAACACCATTCATTCTATTCACACCACTGCATCCGTTTTTCCTTCATGACAGAGAGAAACATGACAATGACAATTCCGAAAATCTTTAATATCAACTAAATACAACAAACCTCCTCTTTGTAAAAATGTTTCATTGCTATAATGTATAACAATAAGGGAAAAAAACACTTACTCTGAGGTAGGATGCACACAGCTGACCACCATCACATTCTGGAAGAAAAACCCTTTATTACAAACACTGCAAGATATAAATACTATTTTATTGAGACTATGCTAATATATATATATATATATATATATATATATATATATATATATATATATATATATATATATATATATATATATATATATATATATATATATATATATATATATATATATATATACATACACACACACACACAGTTGAAGTCGGAAGTTTACATACACCTTAGCCAAATACATTTAAACTCAGTTTTTCACAATTCCTGACATTTAATCCTAGTAAAAATTCCCTGTCTTAGGTCAGTTAGGATCACCTCTTTATTTTAAGAATGTGAAATGTCAGAATAATAGTAGAGAGAACGATTTATTTCAGCTTGTATTTCTTTCATCACATTCCCAGTGGGTCAGAAGTTTACATACACTCAATTAGTATTTGGTAGCATTGCCTTTAAATTGTTTAACTTGGGTCAAACGTTTCGGGTAGCCTTCCACAAGCTTCCCACAAGCTGTCATCAAGGCAAAGAGTGGCTACTTTGAAGAATCTCAAATATAAAATATATTTGATTTAACACTTTTTTTGGTTACTACATGATTCCATATGTGTTATTTCATAGTTTTGATGTCTTCACTATTATTCTACAATGTAAAAAAATACTAAAAATAAAGAAAAACCCTTGAATGAGTAGGTGTGTCCAAACTTTTGACTGGTACTGTATATATACACTGAACAAAAATATAAATGCAACATGTAGTTTTGGTCCAATGTTTCATGAGCTGAAATAAAACATCCCAGAAATTTCCCATACGCACAAAAAGCTTATTTCTCTTACATTTTGTGCACAAATTTGTTTACATTCCTGTCAGTTAACATTTCTGCTTTGCCATATCAAGAAGCTGATTAAAAGGCCTCCCGAATGGCACAGTGGTCTAAGGCACTGCATCGCAGTGCTAGCTGTGCCACTAGAGATCCTGGTTCAAGTCCATGGGGAGGCGCACAATTGGCCCAGCGTAATAAATATATAAATATATATATTATTTATACTATAACACTGCACAACTGCTCTTAAATAGACACGGCACGCCACTCACCTTCTCAACACCTCTGAGGAATTTCTCTGTCCCTGTGTAATTCCTCTTGGGTTCTGTAAGCAGCTCACACAAACGCTGGATCGTAAATGGAATTCTGAGGGAATGATGGTAAGGAGTTTATTAAAACAAACCCGATTTTGCTGCGAAGAGAGAATAATTAGATAATTTATTCTGGTATTGCCCCCATGTATTTTGTTTCTGGTCACAGGTTCAGGAGTGGCTGAAAAATCCCAACATTAATTTAAATTAACCCTGAAAAGCAGTGTTGGGCGATTTGGAAAGCCATAGTCAATCAATCAACAATATAATAATACTTGTAGGAAAGGTTTTCATCTTTAGCTCATAATCTGTGGATACTATGCGATTAGAAAGGTTTAAAATTCATGTAAGACATCACAGCACAGTTGAAAAATATATGGCACATGAATATCAAGAGGGTGATGGGTGACATGGGCTGAGAGCAGCTGAGGGGAGGAATTAAAGAGCTAATGATCAGTAATGGTCATTACAGAAAACACTACATATAATGTATACTGGAGATGTCAGAGTACTATTTATTTAAAATGTAATGTATATATAAAAAATAACTCTTTGTTATGTGAATGCTGTGTATAAAAGTACAATATATGTAAAATGTATATGTAACAAAAAAGCTGTAAAAATGAAAAACAAAGTATTTTTGTCCTCCGAAGAGACCTAGCTAAAGAAAATGTAGGCCTAGCTAAAGAAAAAAAGTGATATTAGATGGTGCCTTCAGAAAGTATTCATACCCCTTGACTTATTCCACATTTTGTTGTTACAGCCTGAATTCAAAATGTATTACATTTATTTCTCATCCATCTATACAGAATACCCCATAATGACAGTGAAAACATGTTTTAAGATATCTTATTTACATAAGTATTCACAACCCTGAGTCAATACATGTTTGAATTACCTTTGACATCGATTACAGCTGTGAGTCTTTCTGGGTAAGTCTAAGAGCTTTGCACACCTATATTGTACAATATTTGCACATTCTTTAAAAAATGTGTCAAGCTCTGGCAAGTTGGTTGTTGATCACTGCTAGACAGCCATTTAAGTCTTGCCATAGATTTAAGCCAATTTAAGTCAGAACTTTACCTACACCACTCAGGAACATTCAATATCATCTTGATAAGCAACTCCAGTGTATATTTGGCCTAAGTTATTGTCCTGCTGAAAGGTGAATTGGTCTCCCTGTGTCTGTTAGAAAGCAGACTGAACCAGGTTTTCGGCTGTGCTTAGCTTTATTGAGTTTATTTTTATCCTAAAAAACTCCTAGTCCTTGCCAATGACAAGCATACCCATAACATGATGAAGCCACCACCATGCTTGAAAATAGGAAGAGTGGTACTCAGTGATGTGTGGTGTTGGATTTGCCCGAAACACACTGCTATGTAATTTCTTTGTCACATTTTTTGCAGTTTTTCTTTTATGCCTTATTGCAAAAAGGATGCATGTTTTGGAATATTTGTATTCTGTACAGGCTCCTTCATTTCACTCTGTCATTTAGGTTAGTATTATGGAGTAACTATAATGTTGTTGATCCATCCTCGGTTCTCTCCTGTCACAGGCATTAAGCTCTGTAACTGTTTTAACGTCATGGTGAAATCCCTGAGCGATTTCCTTCCTCTTCAGCAACTGAGTTAGGAAGGATGCCTGTATCTTTGTAGTGACTGGGTGTACACCATCCAAAGTGTAACTAATAACTTCACCATGCTCAAAGGGATATTCAATGTCTGCTTTTTTTTTTACCCATCTACCTTCTTTATGAGGCATTTGAAAACCTCTGGTCATTGTGGTTGAATCAGTGTTTGGAATTCACTGCTCGACTGAAGGGCCTTACAAATAATTGTATGTGTGGGGTACAGAGATGAGGTAGTCATAAAAAAAAAATCATGTTAATCACTATTATTTAACACAGAGTGAGTCCATGCAACTTGTGACTTTTTTACTCCTGAATTTAAAGGGGTTGAATTTCAGCTGTTAATTTTTAATACATTTTTTAAATAAAAAAAAACATAATTCCACTTTGACGTTATGGGGTATTGTGTGTAGGCCAATGACACAAAATCTAAATTTAATCAATTTTCAGGCTGTAACAACATTTGGAAAAAGTCCAGAAAATGTAGCCAAACTTTAATGAGACTTTTAATTACATAAATATAGGCTAAATGCCAGTCATGTTTGACAAATATAACGAAGGATAATTAACATTAACGTCTAAAGGCTTGATTCTGTCGGCATACTTGAAGCACGGTTCGTTCAGATCAAATGGTCACAAGACCAGAGTGAAGGACAGTGCCTGTTGAGCACCGCACATCACCCACCTTGAATCTGAGCGGAGGCGGTAAGCATTTAGAAACAATTTAACCATAAACTTAACTGTTTAAAACCTGGACATTTTATGAAGCATGTCTTACCTTGTTTCAAAGTACCTAGCCAAAAAACCACCATAGAAATGTTGAGGGAATCATTTTAAAAATATTTAATATGCCATTGAAACCAGCATTTTTCTCATGTTCTATTGGTTTTCATATCAACTTTATTGTATTGTCCAGCAGCAAAAGGCATAATCCTAGTCATATTAGTAACCCATGCTAGTTGATGCATCTTTAGATGGTCACATGAAACCGCTTGCGCGTGCGGTGAGCTTTTGAGAAGTGTTTTCCGCTAATTGCATTTGCGCGTAGCCTACAGCCATATTGTTGCGCTTATGATATGAATAAATAAATATTAACATTTTAAACTAAATGGTCTGATCTGTTGCATCAGCCTCATCGCCTTTTTACATGTTTTAATGTGCAGTGTTTGTATGAATTTTGGATCTGTCATCCCAGAACTGTCCCAGAGTCAGTTTTTAACCTGTTTTCGAGCCCTGGAGGGAATTATTTTATAAAGACATAAAAAAAGTATTTGGTTGTAATTGTAATGTTGAAACATTTTATAGGCTACCAGGCTACCATCCTCCAGGAGAGTATTAAAGGAGCATTTTGAGACAGTCCTGAATATGCAAAGAAGCCAATAGATAGTGTGTAGTCTAACTTTTTGTCTGATTCTCTATGGTAAAGAAGATAGTAATACATTTTATTTTGTAAAGTGGTTCCTTGCATCATTAAAAAGTAGTGAAAAAGTGAATGTCAATCCCTGCTACAGTACGTGACATCTAGAAATGCCTATCCAGTAGATGGCGCCATTGTATAACCACCACAAAGTCAGCAATGGTGAACTCTTTAGATGGCATCACATGATTGTAGGGAAACGGTTGTCTAAAGGTTATGCTGGTACCTACCCATTGTATCCATTCACAATCTTCAGTATCCTCTCCTTCATGTCCTCAAATGGAATGGACTCCACATTGGGATTGGCTACCCCCCTTTGATCGGGTGCTGAGGCTATGAAGTCGTCCATGACCTTCTCCAGTTTGAAGAGGAAATAGCTTTTAAACTGGGACCACTGAACCCTGGTGAAAGAGAGAGTACACATTTCTTAAAAGGAATAATCCACATTTCTATCATTTAGCTTGTTAAATAAAGCAAATGTAAGAATATATGTTGCAGATTTGTTTTTACATTTCAACATAAGTTAGCAAGCAACATGTGAAAATTATTATTTAGTTATACAGCACATGCAGAAAATAAGATTTGGGATGACCTTGGCATATTCCATAATTTGAACCAGTGGTGTTCAAGTTTTCCCACTGAGCATGCTTCATCCTCTCATATGTATAAAATCTGTAGCTCCAAGCTTGTCAATAGGAACATTACTTACATGGTTTCTCCAGTCTTGGCAACATGACACAGAAACTGGTCCAGTAGGGGAGCCACTTCTTGCGTCCCTTTCTTGTCAAAGTCTACAGAGAACAGTGATATCAAATCAGTGAGCACAACAGATAAGGAAACTTTGTGATTCGCTTGCTTATTACTAGCTAATGAAGGGGATTTGTGGCTACAACACTGGCAGAGTGTTTTAGCCATTCAACTAGCTAGCTAGCCAACTCCAGACAAGCACCTGCAATATGAGGATAATCAAGTTACAGTGACACGAACTGCGAATTTAATTGAGCGTTCGCATAAAAGGGTGTCCATTATAGGTTGTTGTGGCCATTGGCCAGGTACAAGTGAACACAAAACTAGCAAGCTAGCTAGTTAGCTCGCTAGCCACCTAACTAGCTAGGGAACCATGTACATATCAACAATTCGCTAGCTAGTTAGGCTTAACTTAATGCCATTGTCTTATCTAGTTAGCTAACGTAACTAGCCAGCTAACTACCGGTAGCTAATCAGCTCATTTGCTTGCTAACATTAGCTAGCTTGACATTGGCGACGGAGTTGTCAACAGCATTATGGTTAACTAGCTAGCTAGCTACATTGATGAATCCAGAAATAAATGTAGAAAACAATTAGATAACGTAGCTCGCTTGCTAGCTTTTCTGGAGGTTTGAGAATTGATAGCTACTGTAGCTAGCTAAGCAACATTGCTTATTCTTCCGAATTTTAGCATTAGCTAACTGACTTGCTAACATTAGCTTATAGCTAGCTAGCTACATTCAACACCTGGCAATATAACTAGCTAACCACTCTGGACTCAAGTAAACAAAAAGTCTGACTTTCAATCGAAGTATTACGCTATTCATAAGAACCCAAATAACCTTTGAGCGCCTCTTGGAGTGAGTTTATTTCCATCATGTTGTTCTGTCAATCTCTTGAAACCAAGAGGCAGACTGATGGTGGCTACGTTCTCAACACAAAAAAGTGAAGGGAAGAAGAAGCATTTTAATATGGCGCTCGTGAGGTCACTGCCTGTCGGCAGACAGGCGGATCAGATTCAGAAAGTACAGGGAGTACGCTGCTGTTCAACAAGTTGCACAATGGAACACTGGAGGGGGAAAAAACGCTTGAGACTCAAAGAGAGTAACAGACTACTGTACCATCCTCATCTGAAAAGTAACCTGCCTTAATAGTTTTTAAAGCATAGCTGATCTATCTGTACATTGAACATTTATTATGGCTGGCCATTTAGAATGATACTGAACAAAAATATAAACGCAACATGCAACACTTTAAAAGATTTTACTGAGTTACAGTTCATATAAGGAAATCAGTCAATTGAAATAAATTAATTAGGCCCTAATCTATGGATATCACATGACTGGGAATACAGATATGCATCTGTTGGTCACATACTTAAACAACAAAAAAGTAGGGGTGTGGATCAGAAAACCAGTCAGTATTTGGTGTGACCACCATTTGCCTCATGCAGCGCGACATCTCCTTCGCATTGAGTTGATCAGGCTATTGACTGTGGCCTGTGGAATGTTGTCCCACTCCTCTTCAATGGCTGTGTGAAGTTGCTGGATATTGGCGGGAACTGGAACACGCTGTTGTACACATAGATCCAGAGCATCCCAAACATGCTCAATACGTGACATGTCTGGTGAGTATGCAGGCCATGGAAGAACTGGGACATTTTCAGCTTCCAGGAATTGTGTACAGATCCTTGCGACATGGGGCCGTGCATTATCATGCTGAAACATGAGGTGATGGCGGTGGATGAATGGTATGACAATAGACCTCAGGATCTCATCATGGTATCTCTGTGCATTCAAATTGCCATCGATAAAATGCAATTGTGTTCGTTGTCCGTAGCTTATGCCTGCTCGTACTATAACCCCACCGCCACCATGGGGCACACTGTTCACAACGCTGACATCAGCAAACCGCTAGCCCACACAACCCCATACATGTGTCTGCGGTTGTGAGGCCAGTTGGACGTACTGCCAAATTCTCTAAAACAACATTGGAGGCGGCTTATGACAGAGAAATGAACGTTCAATTCTCTGGCAACAGCTCTGGTGGACATTCATGCAGTCAGCATGCCAATTGCACGCTCCCTAAAAACTTGAGACATCTGTAGCATTGTGTTGTGTGACAAAACTGTACATTTTAAAGTGCACCTGTGTAATGATCATGCTGTTTAATCAGCTTCTTGATATGCCACACCTGTCAGGTGAATGGATTATCTTGGCAAAGGAGAAATGCTCACTAACAGGGATGTAAACTAATTTGTGCACACAATTTGAGAGAAATAAGCTTTTTGTGCATATGGAAAATTTCTGGGATCTTTTACTTCAGCTCATGAAACATGGGACCAACACTTTACATGTTGCTTTTATATTTTTGTTCAGTGTAGATGCATGAAAGCAGCTTCAAGCAGGAGGGCTTCTTACACAAGTTAACACTCATCCTCAAAATCATTACCTTCGTTAGAAAATTGCCATGGTTTCACTTTATGAACTTCAGGACAGGCATACATCTGACTGACAGTCAACTCTATAATGACTGCCCCTTGCATGTTTTATTTCAATGTCTTAGATCTACACTAGTGTACAAAACGTTAGGAACACCTTCCTAATATTGAGTTGCACGCACCCTCTTTTGCCCTCAGAACAGCCTCAATTGGTTGGGGCATGGACTACAAGGTGTTTTCAAAGGGTCTGAATACTTATGTAAATAAGGTATTTCTGTTTTTGTTTTTTTATACATTTGCAAAAATTTCTAAAAAAATGTTTTAGTTTTGTCATTATGGGGTATTGTGTGTACATTGAAGACGAAAACATTTATTTAATCCATTTTAGAATAAGGCTGTAATGTAAAATAATGTGGAAAAAGTCAAGGGGTCTGAATATTTTCCGAATGCATTGTATTTTTATCAATACATTACAATTATACAATAGGCCTCCTGAGACAGAAACAGAACTGATGGCACATTAACTTTATTCAGAAACAAAGAGTAAACATAAGCATTTATAAATACAACCATCTTGAGTTTCCAGTTTAAATTATTAAAAACACACCTGACAATTGATGGAGTAGGCTACACAAACATCACACTGATGGAGTAGGCTATACAAACATCACATTATAAATGCTTGCATTTACAGTCTCAGAGTTCACATACTGGATCAATGATAGTATGACATTAATACACTGTAAGACACTTCCTCATTAAGTTTGCTGTCCTTTTCTTACACAAAACAGAACATTTAAGAGCATTTGTGAATACACATATGGCACATATTGCCTTGAAAATACTGTACCACTATTATAAGTGCTAGCACTTTGGTCGTTTTGTTCAGAGACAACTACACTGCTTTTTCATATAGGGATTTGCAATGCTTTGACAATTGAATAGGGGAGAAATGGTATGCAAGTCCTGTCCTAATCGCACAAGCTGAACTATTACAAAAATACAAAAGTGCATTTAGCTACACATCTTCTGTACACAATATTAATGGTAATTGCTTGGTGTTTAATATGTTCATACTGTGTTTATTATTGCTGTTGGCATTTGGAGAACTAGACAAGTTGAATCACATTCCCTCTTGTACAGATAGACATTTTAGTCAGTTAGCAGACGCTCTTATCCAGAGCGACTTACAGGAAAAATGTGGGTTAAGTGCTTTGCTCAAGGGCACATCAAAATATTTCTCACCTAGTCAGCTCTGGTATTCAAACCAGCGACCTTTCAGTTACCGGCCCAATGCTCTTAACCGCTAGACTACCTGCCGCCGCTATGCAAGTGATTTTGTTGATGTAACATATTCACATTATTTTGGGACAATTGCAACATGCAACATACACAGAAAGCTCTGGTTAAGCAAAGACCCATATTAGCTTTGCATGACATAAAATGATCAATTAGGCAGCGACCTCTATTTATTTATTTATTTTATTTTTAGTCATTTAGCAGACGCTCTTATCCAGAGCGACTTACATGAGCAATTAGGGTTAAGTGCCTTGCTCAAGGGCACATCGACAGATCTTTCACCTAGTCGGCTCGGGGATTAGAACCAGCGACCTTTCGGTTACTGGCACAACGCTCTTAACCACTAAGCTACCTGCCGCCCTCTAGGCAGTGGGATAATTTCAAACCACTTCCAGAAGTCCACCAGGACTTATCCTAATCATAAGAAAACATTTTTTAAAGGTGTAAAACAAATCATGAAGTCTATCATCACATTTTCACCTGTAAATCAGGTTCTGTAAAAAATTAAGAGGGTGGGTGATAAGGCAAGCTCACTGTCCATCTACACCAGGGGTGTCAAACTCATTCCATGGAGGGCCTTTTGTCTGCTGGCTTTTCCTTTCAATTAAGACCTAGACAACCAGGTGAGGGGAGTTCCTTACTAATCAGTGACCTTAATTCATCAATGAAGTACAAGGGAGGAGCGAAAACCCGCAAACACTCAACCCCCCGTGGAATGAGTTTGACACATGTTCTACACGATCATCATGATCCATACCACCATTCCAGCATCATGTCCACTACACCATTCCAATCAAATGGAATGTCATTTATGATCCGTTGTGTATTAGACACCGTGTAACGCATAATGATTCCATCTGGTCTGGGGACTTCTGACATTGCACATCTTCCACAGAAAGATTTCCATAGTGATGTCAGAGAGACAACTTCCTCTGTCCAGTTTCCTGTAGTTATTTAGGTGGAGGCCTCACATGACGGACCACTTTCTTCTCGTACACAGTCCTCATGGTCTTCTCCACCTGTTTGAGGAACACCTGGGGAATCCGACCACACAGGGTGTTGACTGTGTCCAGAAACTTGGTCTGGAGGGGATAGAACAGCGACTGGAACAAGTTGTCCTCAAAGGGGTACTACAAAACAGAACCATTGCATGCCTCAGGGTTAGACACCAGTAGTGGTAGCTTATCAAACCACTTATAAATCAACTGTGCCATTGCCTACTGTAGGCACTGTAGAGGGGGATGCATATGAATCATATCATCTGGTTAATAAAAGGCGTATCTATGGACAGCAGAGGGGGCTGATGTTGCTGTGAGACAAGGATTTCCTTATGTAAACATGTCCACAGCGTTTGCTGTCCAAGGAGAGAAAAGGACAAAGGACAGAAGGTTTTAATACCAGAGCCTCCCCTTTCATTTTGTTGGCTTTGTCCCAGAGGATGTAACCGGCAATCTAGTAATGAAACTCACAGTTTTTAGTGAAACAATAATACACTAAAATGAATAGATTATTCTTACCTCATGTATTGCGTCATACACTACTTTAAAGGCTGGTTGCTTGTCGTCGTGATACACTCCTCGGTTCCCATGGAGAATGGACACACCTTCCTCCTCGGCTCCTTTACAGTTGCTCCCATACATGCAGTGATCAGGCCTGTAGTTCCACTGGCATGGGAAGTTGTACAGACACTCTGCAAACACAGTAAAACACAGTTTTATGTCTGTTACATCAGATTTCTGCACAATGTCCCCAAGATTACCACAGTGTATATGGTCTCTGATACCAGTATTTTAAAAAACTCAATGTTAGTGCCAAAGAACATTTAGAAAAAATAAACCTAATGACTTCAACCTGCAATGCTAATCGTTCAGAACCCTTATATGTTTTGCTTTGCTGATTTAACAATTATCAAATTGCTTGCTTCACAACTACAAGGATTGTAGTCCTTTTAAACTGCATCAACTCCTGGCTTGTGAAGGGAGAAAAACACCAACAGAGTATCCCCTTAAACCAGAAACATGGGCAGTAAAAGAGAAAGATCAGATATGCCAGACACATGTTTCCATGGCAAGGCAGATATTACAGTAACTGGCTGTTCCCACCACATGGCCCTGTCTTTCCATTTGGGGATGCTGTTAGGGGAATGGTTATTTCCTGGACAGGTTCCATTCATGTTGTCAGACAAACAATGCTACTGCCAAGTCTACTTAAGGCTTGGAACACGTAATACCCATCTCGCAGACTGCACCTGTGTCAATCTGCTGCTGCAGCCACAGGCTTGTTTAGTTCCACATAATTGACTTAATTCAGGAGAGTTATTTCTTGTGGTTGTATTAGAGAAAACCAATAACTACACCTGCTTGAAGGAATTATATTGAATTCCATTCAAGCTGACATTCACGCAAACACCCTTTGGAATCACGTTTTGGGGAAACATTGTAATTTGATACAGGCCTAAGTACAGCTCTTGCTCTTGCTGTCAACATGAATGGCGGTGAAATTATATACAACTTTATTTTCCTATTTGTAGTTGATCATTTCTTCCAAATCAATGACAGCACTCTGCTACATTGAGGAAGACAGAGGGAGGCAGAGTGTACCTGGGCACAGTTTTCCAAAAGCATCTTAAGGCTAAATTTATCGTTAGAACCTTCGGAGGAGCATCGTTACATCTCTTAGCCGTTTCCCAAAACCATCATTATTGACGTTGCACTAGAAATCTCTCGTAATCTAACACCTGCCTCAGACCACTCGTAGAACAGCTAAGTGTGTCGTTAGATGCTTTTTTGCCCTCCTGCATCACTTTCTACACAAAAGATCTACGCTAAACATAGAACCACATGGTTTATCGTTTCTCTATGACCGCTGATAACTTCATAACAAAATTGACTACAAATACAAAGTTACCAATATCTTAGCAATTTATACAAACACGCAACATATACAAATATGATAAATGCATTAAAATAGAAATACCTAGTCAGGTGCACAACTGAATGCATTCAACCGAAATGTGTCTTCCGCATTTAACCCAACCCCTCTGAATCAGAGATGTGCGGGGGGCTGTCTTAATCGACGTCATCGGTGCCTGGGGAGCAGTTGTTGTTGGGGGTTAACTGCCTTGCTCAAGTGCAGAATGGCAGATTTTTAGGCATTACTGTACATACATTTCATGTTCAATAAATTGAGTTCTATTTTGCTACTTGTAGGCTACTGTCTGTAATTTGTCTCATATTTTATGATGTGCGTGCAATGATGTGCCAAAGCAGTGATTTAATGCATTTTTATTGGGTAAGCATTAGAATAAGCCGCCTCAATATTTGCAGCCGTAGGTGGTAATATCTCTCTCTAGGAGCTGATCCGTCATCAGTATTGTGAAATAATTACAGTTGAAGTCGGAAGTTTACGTACACTTAGGTTGGAGTCATTAAAACTGATTTTTCAACCACTCTACAAATTTCTTGTTAACAAACTATAGTTTTGGCAAGTCGGTTAGGACATCTACTTTGTGCATGACACAAGTAATTTTTCCAACAATTGTTTACAGACAGATTATTTCTCTTATAATTCAGTATATCACAATTCCAGTGGGTCAGAAGTTTACATACACTAAGTTGACTGTGCCTTTAATAGGCTAATTGACATAATTTGAGTCAATTGGAGGTGTACCTGTGGATGTATTTCAAGGCCTACCTTCAAACTCAGTGCCACTTTGCTTGACATCATGGGAAAATCAAAAGAAATCAGCCAAGACCTCAGAAAAATCCTTGGGAGAAATATCCAAACGCCTGTAGGTACCACGTTCATCTGTACAAACAATAGTACGCAAGTATAAACACCATGGGACCACGCAGCTGTCATACTGCTCAGGAAGGAGACGCGTTCTGTCTCCTAGAGATGAACGTACTTTGGTGCGAAAAGTGCAAATCAATTCCAGAACAACAGCAATAGGACCTTGTGAAGATGCTGGAGGAAACAGGGACAAAATGATCTATATCCACAGTAAAACGAGTCCTATAATCGACATAACCTGAAAGGCCGCTCAGCAAGGAAGAAGCCACTGCTCCAAAACCACCATAAGAAAGCCAGACTACGGTTTGCAACTGCACATGGGGACAAAGATCGTACTTTTTGGAGAAATGTCCTCTGGTCTGATGAAACAAAAATAGAACTGTTTGGCCATAATGACCATCGTTATGTTTGGAGGAAAAGGGGGGAAACTTGCAAGCCGAAGAACACCATCCCAACCGTGAAGCATGGGGGTGGCAGCATCATGCTGTGGGGGTGCTTTGCTGCAGGAGGGACTGGTGCACTTCACACAATAGATTGCATCATGAGGAAGGGAAATTATGTGGATATATTAAAGCAACATCTCAAGACATCAGTCAGGAAGTTCAAGTTTGGTCGCAAATGGGTCTTCCAAATGGACAATGACCCCAAGCATACTTCCAAAGTTATGGCAAAATGGCTTAAGGACAACAAAGTCAAGGTATTGGAGTGGCCATCACAAAGCCCTGACCTCAATCCTATAGAACATTTGTGGGCAGAACTGAAAAAGCGTGTGCGAGCAAGGAGGCCTACAAACCTGACTCAGTTACACCAGCTCTGTCAGGAGGAATGGGCCAAAATTCACCCAATTTATTGTGGGAAGCTTGTGAAAGGCTACCCGAAACGTTTGACCCAAGTTAAACAATTTAAAGGCAATGCTACCAAATACTAATTGAGTGTATGTAAACTTCTGACCCACTGGGAATGTGATGAAAGAAATAAAAGCTGAAATAAATAAATCATTCTCTCTACTATTATTCTGACATCTCACATTCTTAAAATAAAGTGGTGATCCTAACTGACCTAAGACAGGGAATTTTTACTAGGATTAAATGTCAGGAATTGTGAAAAACTGAGTTTAAATGTATTTGGCTAAAGTGTATGTAAACTTCCGACTTCAACTGTATAATGTTATGGTAAGATTTGAATTGAGAAAGCTGACCCGAGAGCAGCGCTCCCTTTCCTTCGATCCTATCATTATTGACAAATGCTCCAACGACGCACTTAGCGACTATTCTCTCTGCGTGGTGTTTTGGGAAATGCATGTTACATCTTTGGCCGCTGTAGGAAAGATGCATCGTTAAAACACGTAAGCCTAAGTTCCATCGCTATCGGGAAACCGGGCCAAGATTTGTAGTGGAAGAGAGAGGGAGGAAGAGTGTACCTGAGTTGTAGTGGAAGATTATATTTAAGAGGTCTTGGTCACCCCAGGTGATGTGGTTCTTGTACTTCTGGTAGAGTGGGTGGAGGAGGTCCTCCCATGACAGGCCACTGGGTATCATGCTGTTCTGGAATAGGAACAAGTACTGGTTTACTCCACAGCCTAAGGAGTAGCTACACATCAAACACTACAGAAATGTCTGATTTCAAAAGAGCAAAGTTAGTTTTTGCCAAGAATTGCCCACGTTACAATTTGTACTGCTCTTTCTTGGTTGCAGAGAAATGCCAATTTGAGCTTGAATGTGCTGAAGCAGTGCTTTAATGTGAGTGTGGTGATCGCAGAGCCTCAGTCAGTCTACTCTACTCTGAGCATTCAGATTGTTGACACTGACTGCCAGTAAGTGACACATCTGTTGCTGGTTGGCTTCAGATAGATACGATTGATTGATAAAACCAATCGCCTTGCAGCTTTCAGGTGGAAAACAGGGCAGGCATGACCAAAATACCAAACAGGGATGATGACCAAAAGGCTGATTGATTGATGATGTTCCTTACTTTGAACAGAGTGCTTCGTATCCTTGTGAGGTTCATCAGCATGACTCCTGAGTTGACCCCGGTGACCCCGTAGAAGGGGTGGCGTGCGAAGCGGCTATACCAGCCTATCTTCGGGATCTCATGCTCTGGGGCCATAGCAGCCAGCTGGGTGGTGTTGAAGGCCTTGAGGAAACTCCACATATCATCCATGGGCCTGAGGAACAGCACATCTGTATCCACGTAGAGTAAAGAGTCTACATCCTTCAGGATCACCTGTTGTCACGACAATCATCATGTGTAGGTTACTATCAGAATAATTCATTTCCTCTTATTCCAGTGACAGTCCCATATACATGCATTATGTACCATCTCAAAACCTACAATGGCTTGAGGGAAGAATAAAATCACAAAGCAATCTGTTCCTGATGAGAATCAAATAGCACTCGGCTCCTGCAAAGTATAGGGTTTGTGGAGCATCATCTGCCAATCAATAAAATTGCAATCATGGATTGCTTTGGATTGTTTACCACTTTTTACAACTGTGCAATGCAATGTGTACAAAAACAAAGCAATGTGTGCACACGGTTTGATGATTCAAAGATTGTCCATTAAAATGTCAATGAATGGCCATGGCAATGCTTTAATTAAGTTATTTAATTAAATCTCTGGGGATTGTTTGTTTGTTAAGTAACGGTCAATGGGTATGAATAAAACCATATATTATCATACTGAGGTAACTGATTATATATCAACAAGTAAAACCCATCATAAAGTATTCACACTATTATTACCTGGGTATATCATTCTTCTGCCTGCGTAAATCAAGCTAAACGTATCTAATTGAAAATGCATTGGGGTCAGGATGCAGCTCAGTGGCATGGAACTAAGAAAACCGATGACATGGGCAATTACCGTAACACATTTTCTAATGAATATAGCTTTATCAGTTTAAAGAATCAGTTTATATGTTTGATAGATATGATTCAAATAAAAGTTTATTGGTCGCGTACACATATTTGCAGATGTTATCGCAGGTGCAGCGAAATGCCTATGTTTCTAGCTCCAACAGTGCAGTAATTATGATAAGTACACAGAGAGATAAGAGAGACGATGTGCTGCAGCCTTACAGGGAGAAACAGCCTCTGGGCAGCGCAGGGCTTGAACAGCTTTTTCCATTCCTCTGCATTCCCCACAGAGAACGTGATTGGGTAGATACTGTACTGGAACTTGTTTGTGATAGCATGGGGCCACTGGCTCAGCTGAAAGAAAAACTACACAAAGTTAATAAACATTCACTGTGAGAGGTAGCACAGCCATTTTTAGATGCAATCACAGGAAGTCTCATTTATCATCACATATCTAATTTACAAAGAAACAAAAGCACAACTTGAGCGCATTTTCAGAAGGTTGAGTCAAGAGGTGTAGAGGAGAGCGATCACTGAGAGAGCAAATGGAAATATTCATTATTCTGACACATGATACACTCCTGAGAGTTCAAGTCTACATAAACACCTAAGGAAGTCCTTGTAAACCAATGAAGTAATATCTTTACAGTAAGTGCAGCGGTGTTGTACATTGACCATAATGCCGCCAGCTGTTGCTATAACTACACCCAACTTCCAGTTAAACTAATCTAAACAAAATGAGGTAGCAAATATGAGGCCCATTCTGTCCAAGCCTGAGGGTTACCCCATCAAAGTCAACACTGCTGTCACAAATAGAAGCCTACGATTTTCTGCTCTGTTAGATACTCAAGCCCTCCATAATCATCAACATTATTAAACAATTTGGCCATGAGACAAAGATCAGAGTGTGCAGAGCTGGCAGGATTTCTGCTGACGAGGTGCACAGATCAGAGGTCAGAAACATTTTTATCTCACTTCTAACTCCTTTTTCATCAGCACAGGCAGGCCGGATGTGGAACATTCCATCTCCTGCACATATGCTACTAATTTTTGGGTTTAACCAACTCAACTTCCTGGCTAGCATGAAGCCAATTACAAAGAGGGGGTTCTCAGATGGTAAACATACCATGACCCATAAACACACAAAGGGTATGTAGCCCCATGCATGCACGCTGTTTTCGTTTATGTAGGCCAGGGCTCTCCAACCCTGTTCCTGGAGAGCTACTCTCCTGTAGGTTCACTTCAACCCCAGTTGTAACTAATCTGGTTCAGCTTATCAACCAGCTAATTATTAGAATCAGGTGTGCTAGATTAGGGTTGGAGCGAAAACCTACAGGACGGTAGATCTCCAGGAACAGGGCTGGAGAGCCCTGATTTAGGCTATCACCTTTAGGTTTACCGTTACACAGTAGCATAAGACATTGACTTTGGTAAAGCTTAAGTCGTGAATAAACTAACTAATGGTGACTGTGAAATGTTGCATGGTTAATGCAGTGAGGCAAATGTCTGGGGGATATATGATCCGACCTTGAGATAAAAGGGTCTGATGCCTGTAAGATGTTAGAGGGCAAGTGAGAGGGAGTTCAAAACATGCTAATACTCCGATCTGGCAGTGAATGTCATCTATTACTGAGCAGGGAAGAACACTAAACGAGATCCTGTATGTATGAAAGGTATTAGATTCTTTGAAAATATTCAAATAAGCTTATATTTCATTAAGAATTACAGTGGTGCTTTTTCAGAAATATACAGTGCCTTGCAAAACTATTCATCCCCCTTGGCGTTTTTCCTATTTTGTTGCATTACAACCTGTAATTTAAATGGATTTTTATTTGGATTTCATGTAATGGATATACACAAAATAGTCAAAATTGGTGAAGTGAAATGAAAAAAATAACTTGTTTCAAAGATTTCTAAAAAATAAATAACAGAAAAGTGGTGCGTGCATATGTATTCACCCCCTTTGCTATGAAGCCCCTAAATAAGATCTGGTGCAACCAATTACCTTCAGAAGTCACATAATTAGTTAAATAAAGTCCACCTGTGTGCAATCTAAGTGTCACATGATCTGTCACATGATCTCAGTATATATACACCTGTTATGAAAGGTTCAGGGTTGGGTTATAAAAAAATATCAGAAACTTTGAACATCCCACGGAGCACCATTCAATCCATTATTAAAAAATGTAAAGAATATGGCACCACAACAAACCTGCCAAGAGAGGGCCGCCCACCCAAACTCACGGACCAGGCAAGGAGGGCATTAATCAGAGAGGCAACAAAGAGACCAAAGATAACCCTGAAGGAGCTGCAAAGCTCCACAGCGGAGATTGGAGTATCTGTCCATATGACCACTTTAAGCCATACACTCCACAGAGCAGGGCTTTACAGAAGAGTAGCCAGAAAAAAGCCATTGCTTAAAGAAAAAAATAAGCAAACACGTTTGGTGTTCGCCAAAAGGCATGTGGGAGACTCCCCAAACATATGGAAGAAGGTACTCTGGTCAGATGAGACTAAAATTGAGCTTTTTTGGCCATCAAGGAAAACACTATGTCTGGCGCAAACCCAACACCTCTCATCACCCTGAGAACAGCATCCCCACAGTGAAGCATGGTGGTGGCAGCATCATGCTGTGGGGATGTTCTTCATCGGCAGGGACTTGGAAACTGGTCAGAATTGAAGGAATGATGGATGGCGCCAAATACAGGGACATTCTTGAGGGAAACCTGTTTCAGTCTTCCAGAGATTTGAGACTGGGACGGAGGATCACCTTCCAGCAGGACAATGACTCTAAGTATACTGCTAAAGTAACACTTGAGTGGTTTAAGGGGAAACATTGAAATGTCTTGGAATGGCCTAGTCAAAGCCCAGACCTCAATCCAATTGAGAATCTGTGGTATGACTTAAAGATTGATGTACACCAGCAGAACCCATCAAACTTGAAGGAGCTGGAGCAGTTTTGCCTTGAAGAATGGGCAAAAATCCCAGTGTCTAGATGTGCCAAGCTTATAGAGACATACCCCAAGAGACTTGCAGCTGTAATTGCTGCAAAAGATGGCTCTACAAAGTATTGACTTTGGGGGGGGGTGAATAGTTATGCACGTTCAAGTTCTGTTTTTTTTGGTCTTATTTCTTGTTTGTTTCACAAGAAAAAATATTTTGCATCTTCAAAGTGGTAGCCATGTTGTGTAAATCAAATGATACAAATCCCCCAAAAATCCATCTTAATTCCAGGTTGTAAGGCAACAAAATAGGAAAAATGCCAAGGGGGTGAATACTTTCGCAAGTCACTGTACCGTACCCAAAGCCTAGATCAGGGCTGCCCAACCCTCTTCCTGGAGATCTACTGTCCTGTAGGTTTTCAGTCCAACCCTAATTTAGCATATATGATTCAGCTAGTAAGTAGAATCAGGTGTGTTAAATTAGGGTTGGACTGAAAACCCACAGGACGGTAGATCTCCAGGAAGAGGGTTGGGCAGCCCTGGCCTAGATCATGTACTTTGGTACTAGCCTGAGGGTACTTACCCCCTTATCAAACTGTGAGGTCAAGGGGTCCTCTGCAAAGATGTGGAACTTGATCCTCTTGATGCTGAAGAGGAGGGCTGACTTGAACATGGTGAGCGTCTCATCCAGGCGGTTCCCACAGGCCACCACGGCCAGGTGCATGACCTCCTCAGCACGGGCGCGCTTCGATGCGGGCCAGCCCAGGCCCACTCCCATGTCACTCCTCTGTCTGCTACAGGGATACACACAGGGGCAACAAGTATGAGACTCTCAGCTTACAGAAGGCTCCTCAAGACTGCTCATCAACTGTCATCAGAACGGCAGAACCGTGCCGCTCCATAGCAACTTCTTCACCATAAGAACACATCTGAACATGATAGGACGTGCCTTAGACACATACAGTTGATGTCGGAAGTTTACATACACTTAGGTTGGAGTCATTAAAACTTGTTTTTCAACCACTCCACAAATTTCTTGTTAACAAACTATAGTTTTGTCAAGTCGGTTAGGACATCTACTTTGCGCATGACACATAATTTTTCCAACAATTGTTTACAGACAGATTATTTCACTGTATCACAATTCCAGTGGGTCAGAAGTTTACATACACTAAATTGACTGTGCCTTTAAACAGCTTGGAAAATTCCAGAAAATGATGTCATGGCTTTAGAAGCTTCTGATAGGCTAATTGACATCATTTGAGTCAATTGGAGGTGTACCTGTGGATGCATTTCAAGGCCTACCTTCAAACTCAGTGCCTGTTTGCTTGACAATTTCCAAACGCCTGAAGGTACCACATTCATCTGTACAAACAATAGTACGCAAGTATAAACACCATGGGACCACGCAGCCGTCATACCGCTCAGGAAGAAGACGCGTTCTGTCTCCTAGAGATGAACATACTTTGGTGCGAAAAGTGCAAATCAATCCCAGAACAACTACGGTTTGCAACTGCACATGGGGACAAAGATCGTACTTTTTGGAGAAATGTCCTCTGGTCTGATGAAACAAAAATAGAGCTGTTTTGGTCATAATCACCATCGTTATGTTTGGAGGAAAAGGGGGAACGCTTGCAAGCCGAAGAACACCATCCCAACCGTGAAGCACGGGGTGGCAGCATCATGCTGTGGGGGTGCTTTGCTGCAGGAGGGACTGGTGCACTTCACAAAATAGATGGCATTATGAGGAAGGAAAATGATGTGGATATATTGAAGCAACATCTCAAGACATCAGTCAGGAAGTCAAAGCTTGGTCTCAAATGGGTCTTCCAAATGGACAATGACCCCAAGCATACTTCCAAAGTTGTTGCAAAATGGCTTAAGGACAACAAAGTCAAGGTATTGGAGTGGCCATCACAAAGCCCTGACCTCAATCCTATTGAAAGTTTGTGGGCAGAACTGAAAAGGCGTGTGCGAGCAAGGAGGCCTACAAACCTGACTCAGTTACACCAACTCTGTCTGGAGGAATGGGCCAAAATTCAACCAACTTATTGTGGGAAGCTTGTAGAAGGCTACCTGAAACATTTGACCCAAGTTAAACAATTTAAAAGGCAATGCTACCAAATACTAATTGAGTGTATGTCAACTTCTGACCCACTAGGAATGTGATGAAAGAAAGAAAAGCTGAAATAAATAATTCTCTCTACTATTATTCTGACATTTCACGTTCTTAAAATAAAGTGGTGATCCTAACTGACCTAAGACAGGGAATTCTTACTAGGATTACATGTCAGGAATTGTGAAAAACTGAGTTTAAATGTATTTGGCTAAGGTGTATGTAAACTTCCGACTTCAACTGTATATTCCAGACAGTACATCATCACACTGTTTCTACTGACAGACAGCTAACCCACATGTTCATATTCAAGGCCTCCTTGAAGACATCCCTGTCATATGCTCAGGGTGAGCAGCACTCCCTCACCATACCCTTCTCCCTCACCTGTAGTGTAGGTCTGTATATACCCACTGGGCTTTGTTCTCTCATGTTCAAGGCCAAGTTGTTTATATAGCTGATGTAAAAATGCTCTCTCTGCACAGCAGCAGAGACTGCCATTGAATTCAAATGGATTCAGCAGAGCAGAATAAATCACACTCTGAACATTTTTAAATTTGTATAACTCAATGTGGGAACTAGACCTAAATGCTCTGAGCTGCATTTTACGTATACACCGTATTGGCTGGTTTTTAATGGTGCGTGTAAATGTAAACATTAGCATACGCAAAGGAAGAACACAAACTCATGGTCACAAAAACCCTCCTTTAGAACAAAGTGTCCTTTGTAACACTATCCCTCATTTGTGTGAGGATTTTGGAAAGGAAACATTCTATTCTGCCAGAGGAAAGTGCAACGTTTACCCAAAGGCAAAGAATGTGTCTATTAGTCGAACAATCTGAAGGGGGAAACTGCAATTTGACAGGTGGGTTGCAGGACAGTCGCAAAGCATGACACTTTGTTTTCTGCATGGCTGAGGGACAATCATGCAACACAGATTACGATGGATGGCAGACCTCAGAGAAACCTGTCCTCTAGGCTTTGGTGGCAGAGGCTCTTTCCAGAACAATTAGTGTTTATGAACATGTACTGTGTACGTTATTACTAGGGAGAAAATTATACATAAAAAATACTGATGGAGAGGCATATTGTCTTTTAACCTGCAACCTAACCATAAATGCTCAGCAAATGTGTTGTTCTATGATACATACTGCATTGCTTTATAGATGGCCTGGATCAGTGAAATGAATGTTGTGAACACAGTTAGACCAAACAAAGCCCCATTATCTATTGTAAGAAGAACATGCTGCTCATGTGAGGTAATCTTACATAGCGTTAGAACTATTTTGGAAAAAAAAAATTTGGGAAACATTTTGACAAACATTTTGACAAACTCAGACTAGCTCTGAAGGGATACAACAAGGACTGCACTAATTATTGACAACAGAGAGTACTGTGCCTACGTGGTCTTGGGCTCGCAACAATGTCTTTCAAATCATGAAGAAAGAGAAAACAGCTTAAAAGAGCACAGTGACAACACGGCTTACCTTAATCAACAAATCTATCAAACATTACTTAAACTATTTAGACATTTAATCAGATACGAGCCACTACTGCAATGCACTGAAGGCTTGGATGAAACCTGTGAAAGGAATTCTATCAGAGGTTTTAGAAAAATCTGAAAATGTGGCTGGTGGGAGGAGGCTGGTGGGAGGAGCTACAGTACCAGGCAAAAGTTTGGACACACCTACTCATTCCAGGGTTTTTCTTTATTTGTACTATTTTCTACATTGTAGAATAATAGTGAAGACATCAAAACTATGAAAGAACACATATGAAATCATGTAGTAACCAAAAAAGTGTTAAACAAATCTAAATATATTTTGTTTTTGAGATTCTTCAAATAGCCACCCTTTGCCTTGATGACAGCTTTGCACACTCTTGGCATTATCTCAACCAGCTTCATGAGGTAGTCACCTGGAATGCATTTCAATTAACAGGTGTGCCTTCTTAAAAGTGAATTTGTGGAATTTATTTCCTTCTTAATGCGTTTGAGCCAATCAGTTGTGCTGTGACAAGGTAGGGGGGTATACAGAAGATAGCCCTATTTGGTAAAAGGCCAAGTCCATATTATGGCAAGAACAGCTCAAATAAGCAAAGATAAATGACAGTCCATTATTACTTTAAGACATGAAGGTCAGTCAATACCGAAAATTTCAAGAACTTTGAAAGTTTCTTCAAGTGAAGTCGCAAAAACCATCAAGCGCTATGATTACTACATGATTCCATATGTGTTATTTCATAGTTGATGTCTTCACTATTACTCTACAATGTAAAAAATAGTAAAAAATTAAGAAAACCCCTTGAATGAGTAGGTGTGTCCAAACTTTTGACTGGTAGTGTATAGGAGGACAGGCTCATGTCTGTAATGGAATGAATGGAACGGTATCAAACACATCAAACATGTGGAAACCACGTTTGACTCCTTTCCATGCCAGCCATCACAATGAGCCCGTCCTCCTATAGCTCCTCCCACCAGCCTCCTCTGATTTCAATAAAGTAAAGTCTCACCCCTAGCTACGTGTATTCAGTTTAACAGATTTTCCCAGTTACTCAACGCCAGCCTCTGCCCATGTCTGCCAGGAGGTACTTTATCTCTCTTTCTCTCCTTCCTTGGGCCACTCCCCTGCAGTTTAAGTGAGTGAGCTAGCAAAAAGAGAGCTTTTTCCCCCTGATGAGGCCCACATAAGAAGTCTCTCAAACCTTGCCAGGATGCTCGGGTAAGCAGGGAGATTTCAAAGCCCTGCAGAAAGAGAGAGAGCAGTCTTCAGTCATCCAAGATGACATTTTTATAGCTTTACATCATGTCACTGCAACGGAATACCTTGTTGGCCTCGGGGGACACTGTTTTACAGTATTCCAGATGATGGGGAAAGGTATTTGTTTAAAAAGGCTTATTAAATCAGATGTAACCATTGGGAGGAAAGTGTTTTTTTATGGGGACAGTATCATGCATGGACGATTTTTCCTTAATGTGTGAGTCAGACTGAGAAATACATGCTACATTGAGTGTGGATGTGAAACATCCATCAGCAGTGGAATACATTGACTAAAAGTGTTATTACAGTGTAATTGTCTACAACAAGATATTATGACTGTAGAATTTAGTGTGAGCTGGGACATCCGATGGTATCTGTTAGGGAAGCAGCTCTTCTCCCTACTTTTATCCACAGGAAGCAGAGTGATACGTCAAGAGGAAATGGTTTGATAAGGAAAGATGTTTGTCTATTAAAAGGTGTGTAAGAGGAAGTCAATTGCGTTTGCAGTGATGAGGATGGGAAAATTACACTGAAAAAGATGAGCAGGAAAGAGTAACCAAGACAACATAATAGCTTATATTTTATGGTAATTCTATGCCTCCCTTTCAGCCCTCCCCCTCACCAGAACCAATGGTAAAGGGCCTGAAGCTAAGGGAGATGTGCAGTGTTTTTTTTTTAGTCAAAGCGCTTACTGCTTTATGTTTGCAAAACCTGCTTTAGTCATTTTCCTCCATCACCATTGGCCTCCACCCCATTTCTCTTATCAGTAGAGAGCACATGCGTGTGGGTGTGGTCACTGCCAGGACACTATGGCCAGTCTGAATGCTTTATAAATGCTTCCAACCAGATCACTGATCAAACAGGACATTGTATATGAAAGCAAGCATTACAACAGAAAGCACTGCTTTTAGAACATTGCCTTTTGACTATCAAATCTGGGCTATTATCAGTGATAGAGCGAATGGAAGATGTTTTGGGAAAGAATTTGAGCAGGGCCCAAATTAGTATAATAGGAGACATAATAAAAAACATGTCCACACCTGGACAGAAATAGTGAACGATGTTAACCCATTGTCTAGCTATTGTCTGCAAGGCACAGGAAAGAGGGGATGATGAGATCACGGGATGTCATTTTCAAGTGCAGACTGTTTTGACCATTAGTTGAGGTCATCTATATTTGTTAGAGGTGCTTGTCCACTTTGAAGGGACATGGCATCACACATCGTATTATACACATTGACAAGTTCAGCCTCTTGACTTGAAGATGTAGGTGGATGAGAGTTCTAAAATATATGTACAATGTATGCTCCTCAATCCCCAGTAGTGTAATGACTGGGTCTCCTTGGACTAATGTATATTCCATAATCTTAAACCCTCTCAAGGTGACCTTTAAACCCGTTAACCACAGGAAATAAATGGATAAACCCCACAGAGACCATGGGGTACAGATGTCCGATTCGTTGCTTACAAAGCTACACAATTAGAATATTTTTACACTTGAGACTTTTTCTTAAACCCCTTGTATGAGCTCATGTTGGGATTAAATATGCACACAACTCACTGAACAGGTGACACCTTTGCAATACATGTCATAAATACATTGATCAGTCATTTATTGATCAGTCATTGGGTGGGTGGGCACGTCTTCCTGAATGAATAACGAGAGAAAGACAGGATACATGTGGACTCATTCCATAACTTCCACAGGGAATAACCCCATCTATCTCTGTAAACTGATAGTCATGCAATACGTATAATAAAAGTGCAGAAAATCCCCAAACCTTTGAGACATATTGCATCTTTAAATTTGTTCCAAAACGTTGATGAAAAAATAGGCGTGGAGAAAAAACCCATGAATCACATCAACATTAGCAAGCGAGTAATGGTGCGATAATTCCTTACCTCTTTGCGATCGCATTGCCTCCTCTACTGGCTACTTTCGATTCTTTTCGGTACGTGAGTGGTTGTTTGTGTGGAATGTGAAGTTCATCGAGAGTTTTTTTTGTTAACTTTGATGCAACGTTGTTTCGAAGCCCCGAGGACTTTGGAAAATAGGTATCCTCTTCAACTTCTTTGAAAGGCGGACCGTCTGCAGCATTTCCCCAAAAAAAGTACAAAAGTAAAAAAACTCCAAAACAGACAGCGATCACAACAATTTTGCAATGAATTCTCATCGTGGAAAATTGTTCTGATGATTTGGAGGAGCACAATATTCCTCTTTCATGTCTGTGAATAGGCAATAAAAGCTACAGTTGACATTCTGTTACTACTCCGTTGCATTATGCCGCAGATGATCGAGAGCGAAGAGGAGAAGCTTTCCACATCCATGAACATCACTCAGTGGAGGAGGGTCTATATTCTGTTACCGTAATCTTTAGAAGAGAAGTGCATTTTTTGTTTGACATCACGACGTAAACTCAACAATCACAATGCATCAGTAGCCATGTTTTCATTAAAGGTGCAATATGCAGAAATAGGTCCGCCATTTCCTGGTTGCTAAAATTCTAATAGTTCGTCTAATGTAAGTTTATGTGACAAAACAAGCAATGTTTAGTGTAGAGATTCATTGTACCTTCTAAACAGCAGTGAAATATATTTTAAATAACCAAAAATATTGTATTTTCAGCTGTTTGAAGCTGGTGTACAAAACCGAAAGTAAAAGATGCACAAACGAAACCTAAGAACAGGAAGCATAGAAATAGTGCACATAATTTAGATCCAAGATGGCGTAGTAGTGCAGTCCTGTTTTTGTCGTGTGTCTGTAAATACCCAGTTTTTTTGTATTTTTCGTACATATTTCCCTATCAGACTTTTCATCCTTCTACAAAATATACTTTCCTGCAACCCGCCTCACTCAATGTGGAACGGATTCTATTATTGACTTACCTTTTATCTAGAATCTCCAGTTGAAACTAGCTAGCCAGCTAACTAGCTACTTGCTATTAGCCACAGTTAGCGGTATTTCACCCAGAACATTGGATTTTTCTGCCGGAATAATTTAATCACTGGACATTAATCACCGGATCGCAACTAGCTAGCCGCAACCGAATGGATGTTGCTGTTTGGCTAATCACCACCGTCCCCGATGCAAGCACCAGTTAGCCTTGAGCTAGCCTAGAGCCAGGCCCATATCCCGGCTATCTACCTCTCGGTCTACCGGACAGGAGTAGCCAGCTAACTAGCTACTTGCTATTAGCTACCGTTAGCGGTTTTTCACTATTGTCTGTGGCCTGCACCACCTACCAGCCAGCTCTAGCCTGGACTATTATTCGGCCAGTCTGCACTGTCTGCATAGCGCGTTATCGACCCAGAACATATCAGTTTTTCTGCCGGAATCACTGAATCACTGGACATTTAACTCCGGATTCATCGCTACCAGCTAGCTGCAACAAAATGGACGTTGTGGTTTGGCTAATCATCCTGAGCTAGGCCCATCTCCCGGCTCTCTACCTCTCTGTCAACCGGACGGGACCACCTAGTGTTGACACGGAGCCCCGCCGATCCTACACGACTGGTCTGCCGACGAAATCGTCTGATGTGGTTACAACAGGCTTCCCGTTACGACGTCGACCACGAAGATTCCATCTGCTAGCCCCGGCCCGCAAGCACACGCTAGCCGTGGCCTCTTGCTCGCTAGTGCTTTAGCAGCCCCCAAACTACCTCCGAACTATTCTATTGCTGTTTACCGGACCTTATGATAACTCAGCTATACAGCTGATGCCTGCTGGACTGTTCCTTTTTACGGTACCGCATCCTGTTTATGTTTAGCCTCAGCCCAAACTGTGTCGTCATTACCAGCTGTTGTCATAGCTCTCTCAAATTACACCTGTGATTGCTTTATGCCCCTCTCCCATGTCAATATGGTTTGCTTATTGCTGTTTCGGTTATTTCTAATTGTACTATTTCACTGTAGATCCCCCAGCCCAGCTAAACCTGCCTTAGATAGCTCCTTTGTCCCACCCCCCATACATGCGGAGACCGACTCAATCGGTGCCTCCAGTGATGCTATATCTTTCATCGTTACCAAACGCTTAGGTTTACCTCCACTTTACTCATATCCTTGTCTGTACATAATGCCCTGAATCTTTTCTACAATGCCCGGAAATCTGACCCCTTTATTCTATGTACCCAACGCACTAGAAGACCAGTTCTTAAAGCCTTTAGCCGTATCCTTATTCTAGTCCTCCTCTGTTCCTCTGGTGATGTAGAGGCTAACCCAGGCCCTGCAGCCCTCAGTATCACTCCTACTCCCCAGGCGCTATCATTTGTTGACTTCTGTAATCGCAAAAGCCTTGGTTTCTTGCATGTTAATATCAGAAATCTACTTCCTAAGTTTGAGTTATTCACTGCGTTAGCACACTCCTCCAACCCTGATGTTCTAGCAGTGTCTGAATCCTGGCTTAGGAAGGCCACCAAAAATTCTGACATTTCCATCCCCAACTATAACATTTTCCGTCTAGATAGAACTGCCAAAGGGGGTGGAGTTGCAATCTACTGTAGAGATAGCCTGCAGAGCTCTATCATAGTATCCAGGTCTGTGCCCAAACAGTTTCAGCTTCTACTTCTAAAAATCCACCTTTCCAGAAATAAGTCTCTCACTGTTGCCGCTTGCTACAGACCCCCCTCAGCCCCCAGCTGTGCCCTGGACACCATATGTGAATTGATTGCCCCCCATTTATCCTCAGAGTTCGTACTGCTTGGTGACCTAAATTGGGATATGCTTAACACCCAGGCCATCCTACAATCCAAACTAGATGCCCTCAATCTCACACAAATTATCAACGAACCTACCAGGTACAACCCTAAATCCGTAAACATGGGTACCCTCATATATATCATCCTGACTAATTTACCCTCTAAATACACCTCCGCTGTCTTCAACCAGGATCTCAGCGATCACTGCCTTATTGCCTGCGTCCGTAACGGGTCCGCGGTCAAACGACCACCCCTCATCACTGTCAAACGCTCCCTAAAACACTTTAGCGAGCAGGCCTTCCTAATTGACCTGGCCCAGGTATCCTGGATGGATATAGATCTCATTCCGTCAGTAGAGGATGCCTGGTTGTTCTTTAAAAGTAATTTCCTCTCAATCTTAAATAAACATGCCCCATTCAAAAAATACAGAACTAAGAACAGATATAGTCCCTGGTTCTCCTCAGACTTGACTGCCCTTGACCAGCACAAAAACATCCTGTGGCGTACTGCATTAGCATCAAATAGCCCCCGCGATATGCAACTTTTCAGGGAAGTTAGGAACCAATATACACAAGCAGTCAGGAAAGCAAAGGCTAACTTTTTCAAACAGAAATTTGCATCCTGTAGCACTAACTTCAAAAAGTTTTGGGACACTGTAAAGTCCATGGAGAATAAGAGCACTTCCTCCCAGCTGCCCACTGCACTGAGGCTAGGAAACACTATCACCACCAATAAATCTACAATAATCGAGAATTTCAACAAGCATTTTGCTACGTCTGGCCATGCTTTCCACCTGGCTACCACTACCCCGGCCACCAACTCTGCACCCTCCGCTGCAACCTATATTATAACCGCAATCGATAATAGACAGTACTGTGCAGCCGTCTTCATCGACCTGGCCAAGGCTTTCGACTCTGTCAACCACCGCATTCTTATTGGCAGACTAAATAGCCTTGGTTTCTCAAATGACTGCCTCGCCTGGTTCACCAACTACTTCTCAGATAGAGTTCAATGTGTCAAATTGGAGGGCCTGTTGTCTGGACCTATGGCAGTCTCTATGGGGGTGCCACAGGGTTCAATTCTTGGGCCGACTCTTTTCTCCGTGTATATCAATGATGTCGCTCTTGCTGCTGGTGACTCTCAGATCCACCTCTACGCAGACGACACCATTTTGTATACATCTGGCCCTTCATTGGACACTGTGTTAACAAACCTCCAAACGAGCTTCAATGCCATACAACACTCCTTCAGTAGCCTCCAACTGCTCTTAAACACTAGTAAAACTAAATGCATGCTCTTCAATCGAACACTGCTGGCACCCGCCCACCCGACTAGAATCACTACTCTCGATGGGTCTGACCTAGAGTATGTGGACAACTACAAATACCTAGGTGTCTGGTTAGACTGTAAACTCTCCTTCCAGACTCACATTAAGAATCTCCAATCCATAGTTAAATCTAGAATCGGCTTCCTATTTCGCAACAAAGCCTCGTTCACTCATGCTGCCAAACATGCCCTCGTAAAACTGACTATCCTACCGATCCTTGACTTCGGCGATGTCATTTACAAAATAGCCTCCAACACTCTACTCAGCAAATTGGATGTAGTCTATCACAGTGCCATCCGTTTTGTCTCCAAAGCCCCATACACTACCCACCACTGTTACCTGTACGCTCGTTGGCTGGTCCTCAATACATGTTTGTCGTCAAACCCACTGGCTCCAGGCCATCTATAAATCACTGCTAGGCAAATCCCCGCCTTATCTTAGCTCATTGGTCACCATAGCAGCACCCACCCGTAGTCTGCACTCCAGCAGGTATATCTCACTGGTCATCCCCAAAGCCAACACCTTCTTTGGCCGCCATTCCTTCCAGTTCTCTGCTGCCAATGACTGGAATGAATTGCAAAAATCTCTGAAGCTGGAGACTCTTATCTCCCTCACTAACTTTAAGCATCAGTTGTCAGAGCACCTTACCGATCACTGCACCTGTACACAGCCCATCTGAAATTAGCCCACCCAACTACCTCATCCCTATATTATTATTTATTTTGCTCTTTTGCACCCCAGTATCTCTATTTGCACATAATCTCTTGCACATCTAGCATTCCAGTATTAATACTAATTGTAATTATTTTGCACTATAGCCTATTAATTGCCTTACCTCCATAACTTGCTAAATTTGCACACACTGTATATATATTTTCTGTTGTATTTTTTGACTTTATGTTTTTTTACCCCATATGTAACTCTGTGTTGTTGTTTTTATCACACTGCTTTGCTTTATCTTGACCAGGTCGCAGTTGTAAATGAGAACTTGTTCTCAACTGGCTTACCTGGTTAAATAAAGGTGAAATAAATAAAATAAAATGTAGAACAGATCTACCACTTATTAGACTTGCTGTCAATGAGAATGACAGATCTATAACTCACATTTCTATGTGAATTTGGTCCGGTTGCCCAAAAAGTAACATGTTGCAG